CTCAACGAATAAGTATACACTCAAATAAACTAAATTAGTTTAAAAAAACAAAATAAATAACAATCACCAACATATCCACAACTCTGTAAGTAAAAACATTATGAATAAAGTTGAAGCTCCTGCTCCTTGGCATTCTGGTCACCGCCAGCCTTCATTACCACCACATAACAGGTCTCTCCCCACACTTACCCCAAGCTCACTCTTCAGATAAACAGAATAAACAATCCTTGGTTAGGAGAACTAGTTCTTCTACCTCTCCCTGCCTAAAGTCATCAAAGTTCACATGCTTGAACTTCTCCTAATTACCTTCCAACGGGTTCACATTTCATTCCTAACTTCTCTCTGCTTACTGAAATGCTATTCATCCTTCAAGAATCAAAATAAATTCCAATTCATCCATGAAGTGCACCCCAGCCTTCAAAAATTTTTTTTCTAACTCCCACAGAACAGATGCTATAGAAACAATCTGCTTCATAACTCTTGTTTTCTATGAGGGAAAAGTGCACCAATGCTGACCCTCACCCTCCATTCAGTGGCAGTGTAGAAAACAGACTGAAAGGGGGGCAGGTTTAGTTAAAAGCAAGGAGGTGGGGGCCACTTTAAGGAGATGGCAATGAAGAATTCTATTCTGCATGAGCAAATGAGAAGAGAGGAGGATCAAGTATTTCTTGGAATCTATACTAAGGAAATACTCTCAAGACTGGTGATATACATCACACATGGGCTGTACTTAACAGATCTACAACTTAAATATTAGTTCTCCACTTTCTATATATTTAGAATATAATAAAAAACTTCATAATAAAAAACTGGAAATAGTCCATAGCAAATTACAGTGTATCCATTGAATGACTATAAAGGAATTTTAATATGGGAAGATATGTAGAAAACCCTAAAGATTCCACCAAAAAACTGGTAGAATAAATTAATTCAGCAAAGTAGCAGGATACCAAGTCATCACATAAAAATCAGTTACATTTCTATACACAAACAATGAACAATCTGAAAAGGAAATTACAAAAATATTTCCATTTATAATAGCATCAAAAAGAATAAAATACTTAGGAACTAACCAAGAAGGTAAAAGATATATACAATGAAAACTACAAAATATTAATGAAAGAAATTAAAGAAGACAAATAAATGGTAACACATCCCATTTTCATGGACTGGAAGACCTAATACTGTTAAAAAGTCAATAGTACCCGAAGCCATCTACAAAGTCAATGCAATACCTACTGAAATCTCAATGACATTTTTTGCAGAAATAGAAAAACCCATCCCAAAATTCATATGGAATCTCAAGGGACCCTGAATAACCAAAACAATCTTGAAAAAGAACAAAACTGGAGGACTCACACTTCCTGATTTCAAAACTTACTAGAAGCTACAGTAATCAAAACAGCGTGGTACTGGCATAACACAGATATATAGACCAATGGAATAAAATAGCCCAAAAATTAACTCTTGCATATATGCTCAAGTGATCTTTGGCAAGGGTGCCAAGACCATTTAATGGGGAAAAATCAGTCTTTTCAACAAATAGTGCTAGGAAAACTGGATATCTATGTGCAAAAAAATGAATTTGGACCCTTAACTAATGCCAGGTACAAAAATTAACTCAAAATGGATCAAAGACCTAAACACAAAACTTAGAACTCGATTCAAAATGGGCAAAGGATTTGAATTGATATTTCTCCAAAGATATACAAATGGTCAATAAGCACATGAAAAGATATTAAACATCACTAATATTAGGGAAGTACAAATCAAAAACACAATGAAATATCATCTCACAGCCATTAGCATGGCTACTTTAGAAAAACAAAACAAAAAGCAGAAAAGTGTAAGCAAGGACGTGAAGAAACTGGAACCCTCGTGCATTGGTGGTGGGACTATAAAATGGTGCAGCCACTATGGAAAACAGTGTGGCGCTTCCTCAAAAAATTAAAAATAGAATTACTGTATGATCCAGCAATTCCACTTCTGTGTAAATACCCCCAAAGAACTGAAAGCAGGGACTCAAACCGGTATCTGGGCACCCACATTCCTAGGAGCATTATTCACATGAGCCAAAAGATGGAAACAACTCAATTGTTCATCAACAGATGAATGAAAAGATAAAATGTGATATATACATACACTGGAATATTATCCAGCCTTTAAAAAGGAAGGAAACTGAGACATATGCTACAACATGGATGAACCTTCAGTACATTATGCTAAGTAAAATAAGCCAGTCACAAAAAGACAACTGCTGACTGAATCCACTTATATGAGGTACTCAAACTAGTCAAAATCATAGAGACAGAAAGCAGAATGGTGATTGCCAATAGCTGTGGGTAAGGGAAAATGAGAAGTTTAGAGTTTCTGTTTTACAAGATGAAAAGAGTTGTGGAGACGGATCGTGGTGATGGCTGCACGATGATATAAATGTATTTAATACCACTGAACTGTACACTTAAAAATGGTTACAGTGGTAAATTTTACATTATGTGTATTTTACTACACCTGAAAAAAAGTATATGTAGGAGTTAAACGGTAAGTATGCTTTTTCCATTATTAACCATGCCCTTCCTGATGGAGCACAGGTAATAAACTCAATTTATTCCCAGGGGGTGGGGAATGGCGACGCACATAAGGGGGGAAATTCTGTAAGCTCTGTATCAGGCTACATATTTTTAGTATCTAGATAATTCTTGACAATTAGAAAGTCAATCAGGAAAAGACAAACACAAATAAAAAGACGCACAAAGGGCAGGAACAGAAATTCACAAATGGCCAATAAATGTGAAAAAAATGTTCAAACATACTAGTAATCAAGGAATGAAACATTAAAGACACAATTTTTCATCTATTAAATTTAGTTTGGGGGGAGATGAAAATAAGGCGTCTTGAACAAGGGGCACTTGTTTCTAATTCACACTCATTGTCTTCACTTCCCCACTCCCATTCAATTACTCCCATCTGTTTCTACCTCCTACTTCTAGTACTCTGGATAATAATACCAATGACCAAACTAATAACCTCTGCGTTGCCAAATCCAAGTAAGCAACTCATTAAACATCTCAGAAGCACTGACGGACCAAGCCTCCATCATCCAGAAACTTCTCTCTTGTGGTTTCCATGACACCAGTCTCCTGCTTTTTTCTCTTACTTCGCTGGCTGTTTCTTCTGTCCTGTGCCCATCTTTTTCCTCTATAAGATTTCCAAGCATTATAATGCCTGAGGCTCACTCAATTTTCACTTCTCTACACTCTTTCCCTAAGTGATCACAAGTAGTCCTATAACTTTGAATATCATCTACATACTGAGTACTCCCAAATTTTTATCTCCAGCTCTAGGTTCTCTTCTGGAAGCTCCAAACCTGTACATCCAACTGCTTCCTCAACATACCAACTTCATATCTAATATACATTTCAAATTTAATACACCCAAAACAGAACTCATGATTTCTCCCACCTCAAATTTCTCTCTTCCATTCTTCTCAGCGAATGCTGCCATCTACTCAAAGTTGTTCAAAACAAGTATCAAAAAGCAAAGAGTTCTCCCTTTCACCAATCTATTTCCAAGTCTTGTTCATTCTACCTCCAAAATATTTGTTAATCTTTCTACTTACTCTTCTCCATCCCCACAATCATGGACCTAGTCCAAGGTACTGTAAACTAACCGATCTTCTAGCTTCCGCTCTTGCCCTCTTCCTCTGCCCAGCAGATTATGCTACTTTCCTTCTTACAGCCTTCAAAAGAGTTCTCATAAAAACTAAATTCCGGGCTTCCCTGGTGGCGCAGTGGTTGAGAGTCCGCCTGACGATGCAGGGGACACGGGTTCGTGCCCTGGCCCGGGAAAATCCCACATGCCGCGGAGCGGCTGGGCCCGTGAGCCATGGCCACTGAGCCTGCGCGTCCCGAGCCTGTGCCCGCAACGGGAGAGGCCACAACAGTGAGAGGCCCGCGTACCGCCAAAAAAAAAAAAAAAAACACTAAATTCCTAAGAATGGCTTCACCTGCTCCTATCTTTGAAAGAACATACAAAACCAAAAATATACACTCCATGATAATATCTCTGGACAGTAAAACTATGGGTACTTTTCCTCATTTTTCTTGTATTTTTAAATTTTTCTATGATGAATACCTACTACTTGCTTATTAAGAGAGAGGAAATTATATTGCTGAATACTACATAATATTATATTCTTACATGTTAAGGAGAAAAGGGAATGGAAAATTGTAGTTACAACTCCGTAACTGTTACAGCTTAAAAGAAAACAGTAGCAAACAAATATCAAAATTCTAAGAATGAGGTGTCAGGGCTGTAGAATTACTGGTGATATTTTCCCTCAACATAATTACATTCACAATAGAAAAAAAAAAAAGTTATGAGATAAACCTCATTGTCTTCTGCAATCTGACCGCAACCCACCAAAGCAGCCTTTCACTCCCACCTCGCACTGTCTCACACCTCTGGTGCTTTAACTCGGGCACCATCTCTAGAGTATCCTCCAACCTTTCTAAATCCTACTCATCCTTCACGGTGGAAGGAGACGATAGGGAAGCCGACAGGTTGGAGAAAGATTCCAGGATTCTTGCTGATAAATCCACAACTTGCCGGTGCTGGGGCCAAATCTCGTCTCCAATCCCATCGCAGGCCACCAGGTTTAACGTGCTAAAAGCTCCCGCCAGTGGGGCCCAGGGGACCCCCATCCCCTCAGAGAGCGCGGTGTCCCTTAAAAAATGACACCCCTCACACACCCAAATTCCGGGTTCCCGCTGCGGAGATTCCCCCGGCACACACACTCACCCCGGACCCAGCCTCCTCCTTCGGATCCTCTCCTCTCGTCAGTCACCCGCCCCCTCCCTCCCTCCCCTCAGCCAGGGTGCCAGCGCGTCCGGCGGGGTGGGGGAAGGGCGCGCACGTGCCCGCGCCGCCCCCGCCCAGACAATGCCCGGGAGAACGGAGCGCGCGCCCGGCGGTCCCATCCCGCTCCCGCCAACACTCACCCTTTTTCCGGGTCTCCGGCTGAAGCACAGGCCCCGCCGGGCGCCGCGAGAGGGTACGGGGGAGGGGAGGCAACGGGCCAAGCCCCGCGGAGCCGCCCCGCCACGAGGCCCCAGCGACCCCGGAGCCCGCGGAAGCACACTGCTCAGCAGAGCCCGCCCGACCCGTCCCGCCCGGACGTCACCAGCAAGGGCGGTGGCGACGCGCGCGGTTCCGGGGGCGGAGTTCGCAAGGTTGTGGGCGGGGCCGGGGCGGGGTTGAGGCTGTCCTAGACTCTCACCCCGGGCCGGGACGCGCTGGCCCGCACTGCTCGGCCTTGCCCCGCTACCTGGGGAGCATGGGCGCCGGTTCTGGTAAAGGCACCATCATATATTATTTTCCTCCTTAGAGAAAGATGGCGAGTTCCAGCCCAAAGACAGAATATTCATTCTGCCGGCATTTATGAAGCTTCTACAGCAAGGACCACAGTAGCTATGATTTTTGTATGTGTCATCTTGTACCAAGCTTTGTGCTCTGTGCTAGGGATACAAATAACTATAGTTATTACTAACCTATTTTACAGATGCAGAAACTGAGGCTCGGAAAGGTTATCTAGGTCATACAACTAGTGAGTAACAATCCATCAAGTACTGTTTTCCACCTAAATATCTCTTGAGCCCAACCTTCCCTTTCCTTCTCCCTGTACCACCCTAGAGTAGACCCCATCATCTCTCTGCCCAAGGCCACCGTAGCCTCCCATGTGGTCTCCAGGTATCTATTTCTGTCCCCCTCCAATCTGTTTTCCTCACTACGTAAAGATTTACCATTGGAATGACCAAGGTCTAGAGGGGTTCACTTTATAATTTGTTTTTCACTTTACGTATATGTTATCAATTTTTTGGATGTGTTTAATAAAAATGTTTTAAAGGATTTACTCGTATATCTCCAATTGCAAGCCCAGTGCATTGCACATAGTATGCACTCAAGAAGTATTTGTTGAATAAATGAATAGTAGGGCCAGGAACTTACTCCAAAGCCCTGCATGATAAGGAAATAGAGGGATTTATAAAATGTCACTGTTGGCCTCCTGACCTTAATGTCTATTAAGGGTAAAGGCAGATTAACAATATTTGTTCAACAAATTTTTTGTGTGTTTCTATTCTATGTCCTGGCACTGTGTGCCCAGCACTATGTTAGATACTGAGGATCAGAAATGAACAAAACAGTTTCTGCCCTTGTGAAATTTACCGTCAATCTAATCTGAAAGGCCAGGAAAGGACTCTCTTAGCTTTAAGCTAAAACCCAAAGAGAGAATGAGAATCAGGGAGATAAAAATAAATTTCATGGAGAAAGAGGTAGGGTAAGTGGTCAGCATGGGCATGTCTGTATTCTCCTACTTTGGGGGTCTAACCCTGAGGCAGGGGCTTAGAAATATCCAGCTGAGTGTGGAGGAGGCTAGAAGCCCACTTCTCCTGGCTCAGCTTGGAAGGCTGCCCAATTCTGGCAGAAGTCTCACGTTGAGCAGGGCTTAGGAGCAGACAGTAGCATTAGTGAGAAAGAGGAATCTGAGATAGTGCTGCTGGGTGTCCACAATTTGCAGGTGGTGTGCCAGAAACCCAGACTTCTCTTATGCCTTCTGCCAGGCAAGCAGAAAGTAGCATGGGTGAGAGCCATGGACAGGCCAATGGGCACTGTGCCAGGGGCCAGGTGATCCTTAACCAGAGGCTTTATGGTGGACTAATTGGCAGGTAATGATGTGGCTAAGACCCCAAGGATGGGCAGAGCTAAAAACCCCAGCAAGAGCTGAAGTGCTCCCAGGTCAGCTGGTGAGAGGAGCAGGGATGAAGGAGTCGGGGTGGGAAGGTGAGACATCAGACTCTCAAGGTGCTGAAGCAACAGATCATGAGCTTGACAGCCAACAACCTCAGCAGTTGATGCCAGTAGGGCCCTGGTGACCAGGTGTGACTAGGCACATGGCTGCAAAGGCCAGTGAGGACCCAAGCTATGGCTCACATCTCTGCACACAGATCTGAGACCCATCTGGCCACTCCCTCGAAGCTTCCCTTTGATCCCACAGGCCATCTTGGGAAGTCAAGAGTGGGGAGGGGGGCTTCCCTGGTGGCGCAGTGGTTGAGAGTCCGCCTGCTGATGCAGGGGACACGGGTTCGTGCCCTGGTCTGGGAAGATCCCACATGCCGCGGAGCAGCTGGGCCCGTGAGCCATGGCCGCTGAGCCTGCGCGTCCGGAGCCTGTGCTCCACAACGGGAGAGGCCACAACAGTGAGAGGCCCGCGTACCGCAAAAAAAAAAAAAAAGATTAAAAAAAAAAAAAAAAAAGTGGGGAGGGGTAAGTTCTGATAGGACTACAACTTTCAATTGACTGAATATTTACCCAAAATGAGATGGTTTAAGACCATATAACTTTCACTGGCAAGTTGTTTTTGTTTGTTTCTCCAGAGTATTTTTTTTAATCGAATGAAAGATTCTTGAAATGCTATAGTGCTTTACGATTTTCAAAAGTTTCACACACGTGATTTCATGTAATTCCATAATAACCCTTTTTCCCCCCTACCCCTATATTGCCTCTCCCCCTTCCCTCTCCCCACTGGTAACCACTAGTTTGTTCTCTATATATGTGAGTCTGCTTCTTTCTTATTTTATTCACTAGTTTGTTGTATTTTTAAGATTCCACATATAAATGATATCATACAGTATTTGCCTTTCTCTGTGTGACTTATCTTACTTAGCATAATGCCCTCCAAGTCCATCCATGTTGCTACAAATGGCAAAATTTCATGGCTGAGTGAAATTTTATGGCTGAGTAGTATGGCAAGCTTAAATTTAGCCCACTCCCCAACAGGAATGAAAACCCACCAGAAAGTTTTCATCATTTAAAGAGAAATAACAGCTACGGATTTGTATACATACGCACACAGTGTGTACATTTCAGTAACAGAAATAAGCTCTATGAAGCAAATGGGCAGGGTGCTAAGAGAGCACAGCACAGGGGGACCAAATTTAATATGGAGGTAGAAAAAGCCTCCCTGAAAACATATTAAGTGAAACTGAAAGCAGTAGGAGCTGTCGGGTCACAATAAAGCCTAAGACAAAGTGAGAGAAGTTCAGGGTAACTTAAGAGCAGAGTGGCTGGGTTTGGGGCTGAGTCAGGCAAGAACAAGATGGTGCAGGTAGGTGGTGTTAAGATTTTTATCTTTACCTTAAGAACAACAGGAAGTCATCAAAGTGTTTTAAGCAAGGGAGTAATGTACTCAACTTGCCCTTTTAAGGTAATATATTCGACCTAGCAAATGGGTGGGGAATGACTGGAGGGGTGTGTGAACAAAGAAGCAGCCGCACAGTTGGAAAGCAATTTGATCATCCAGGTGAAAAATGAGGGTACCTTACAGTGGGCAGCGGAGATGGAGGGAAGCTACCGAGAGACTTGGTAATGAACTGGGAGAAGACCAGGGAAGTGAGAAAAAGCAGCCCCAGCCTTCAAGCAGATGGTGCCCTGCAGTGGAGCCCACAGCTGGAGATTGGATTTCAGGCCCCTCCTTGGCCAGGCCTCCTGCACTGGAGGGGGGCCTGGAAGGAGAAGATTAGGAGAAGAACCGAGGGGGACTGGTTTCTGGAGTTGGCAGATGGTGAATGGTGATGCCATTTACTGAGAGGAGACAGACTGAAGGGAGAACAGATTTTCTATGTTGGGGTAGTGGTCAGTGAATCAAGAATTCTTGGGACATTTTAAGTTTAAGACATCTACCTGAAGACATTAAACAGGCATCTGTGCACACAATTCTGGGGCTCAGAGAACTGGTGGGTAGCACTGTCAATGTACCCTTGTCAGCAGGTAGTTCTGAGAGCTGATGAGATTGGAGAAAAGACAGCACAGTTCAGAGGGGTTGCACAGTCACAGCCCATAATGTCACACTTTGCTTTATACAAGACAACATTCCAAATGTTGAGAAATATCACATAATAACCTGGATTTCCCCTTCTATGAAAAATCAAGGGACTTCCCTGGTGGCACAGTGATTAAGAATCCGCCTGCCAGTGCAGGGGACACGGGTTCGAACCGTGGTCTGGGAAGATCCCACATGCCGCAGAGCAACTAAGCCCGCGCGCCACAACTACTGAGCCTACGCTCTAGAGCCCGTGCACCAAAACTACTGAAGCCCGTGTGCCTAGAGCCCATGTTCCGCAACCAGAGAAGCCACCGCAATGAGAAGCTCGTGCACCACAACGAAGAGTAGCCCCCGCTTGCCGCAACTAGAGAAAGCCGGCGCACGGCAGCAGACCCAACGCAGCCAAAAATAAATAAATAAAATTTAAAAAAAGCAAAAAGGAAAAATCAAGCTGTGGTAACCTGGGCCCACATTGCTATAATTAGATACTAGCTAACACTATGAACCAGGCAGTGTTCCAGGCGCTTCACAAATTTAATCTAAGTAACAACTTGATTTTTATGGTTCATACTTTAAGTAAGAGAAAACGGAAGCACAGAAAGGTTGAGTAACTTATCAGAGAGCTAAGAAGTTGCGAGCTGGGTTGCAGACCCAGGCTATCTGGCACCAGGGCCTGAGGGCTTAGACACCTTGGGTGCAGCTGGGAAGCTGCAATCCCATTTAGAAAAGCCCTGTTGCCTGCAGGGCATGGCCCCACCACTTCCTATTGTTTTCCTGTCCCAGGCAAACCCCATCCCAGTCTGAGCATCAGTTGCCATTTATTGTTTTATTTGCACTGCTGTTTTCTGATATTGGAGAATTATTTATCTATACCAAGTAGAATATTAAAAATATTAAAGGCATCTAACTTCCATGGGAAAGAATTTTAAAATTATTTATTTGTGAAATTTCTGTTTGTATGTTATCTGGTCAGATAGAATTGATAAAAACAGGTTAGTATTTAGGTTAAATATGTATGAGAAACTCATAACAATGTTTCTGTGCTTCTGAAACAGTCACGCTTCTGATACATACTTGGGATCTATCATTCCCAAGTATAAAAGATGAAAATGACACAGAGCGAAGGCAACATAATATTAAATAACTAACTTTTCAATTTCAGACAGTTTTATTTATATAAGGTTGATCTGAGACTGAGGTCTTGGGAGACTTTGACAGTATGCTTAAACTTAGTTTCAAGTCTTGGGGGAAAAATACGGTTTATGTCAGTTTGGGGTCTT